TTTTGTAATAAAGGTTTTTTTTTACTGGCGACATTGTTTACTGTACTTGGTTTGTGGGTGTAGACTACTCAAGAGTTGTAACAAGTAAGACTTGGGGTCGGGGAAGGGTTGGGAGGGTAATCTTCTGTGAGGTTACCATGCGTCAAAGGAATCTATCTTACAGGAACGTTTAGTTGAAGCTTCTCGAGGTAAGGACAAAGAGGAAAATATCTTCCCGTTCACCTGATTATGATTTCATTTTGATGAAATTACGCCCCCCTGAGTACTGCAAAGAAAAGACAGTTTTCTTTTCTTATTTTCAGTAAGTAACAAATTTTCGTTTTAACTGTCCGCCATTACACTGTATCAGTCATTATAAAAATGAGTCATCCTCGTTTAAGTTGTCCAGCTTTGTTAGGTTAAGTTCCAGACGAATTACATGAAGAGACCTCAATCGGGGTTACCGTTTAACACAGGTTAAGTAAGAAACTCACAATTTATCGGAAGACGTGACTTATCACTCATTTTTGTCTACTGTTGCCACTCATTTTTTCGCAACAACAGCGAACAATGTTTCGTTCCCTTTTTGCAATCAAGTCGTACAAGTACACAAGGGCCGGACCGCTTTTTCACGTCGTCTTTCTCCATGGTTTTTCGGCCTTACGATTACGCACGCAGGGCCGAACGGGTCATATAATAAATTTTACCGCAACTTGCAGGAATGCCGTTGTCGATAAGAGCACAGTCACGAACTCTAGTCACGCACTGGAAGAATCGTTTTATTCAACGTCAATATTGTGGTAACAAATATGTCGAAAGTGGTTTGGCGTGGTCAGTCCTCTAATCGACAACGATATTTGTTAGATCTTGTTATCACTTTGCTCAAACTTTGTTGCGAACTCACGAGGCGCAGCCAAGTAAGTCCACAAGATTTTGACCACTGTGATGATGAATATCGTTGTAGATAAGAGTACAGACCAAGAGTGTCGATTTATTAAATTGAATATGGCTGATGAATTTGTTGCGACTCTTGTGGGAATAACTGTTCAATTATATTTCTTGAAATTTCAGGGTCATTGGCTTTTAGTTAAATCCGGTACCATGTATTCTGTGCAGTATATCCACGAGTTCATCATAGTGTCACTTTGATCTATCTTTTGGTGATCTGTATTTACACGTAGGAGACGGAGTCACAAGTAAAACTATTCTTGATTCAAATTATGGTTTTCTGTTTTTTACAAGAACCAAATTGAACCGCGCACTCTGCGGGTATTGGGCCTGGTTACTCAGCTGTTTTTAAAAATGGCGGCGCGTAAAGTCGTATCTTAAAAGTCGTATCATAGAAGTCGTATCATAAAGCCAATGAACGGAGGGTTACTCTTGGGAACGCTAATAAATATAAATTGAAGTTTCTAGTAAAAATTTTAAAATGTACATTTTGATATGGCACGTGGTATGTGTTTGGAGCCGGCTTCCTTTTTTTCCACAAAACTGGTCAACAGCAGTAGTCATTATCTGGTCATGCGCAAACTCCTTTCACGTGCGCCTGGTAGAAATTACTTTGAAAGATTTCCTGAGATATACGGACTATGATGTTTTAGCTCGAAAAATGGGTTTAGCGACACTGTTGATCCAGCGATCTGGACTTCGTCTTCTTTCTCGTAATGTAAGATTTGCAACCTTGATGTTTAGACCGTAATTTAAGTTTTTGTTAATTTTTACTAAACGAGAATCCTCAATCACGAAGAAGTGAAAAGCTTACATAATCGTACATCTTTCTCAAACAGTTAGGACTATCGTATCAGAAAGTTATAGAAGTTATAGAACGAGAGAATCAAAAATCAAAACAGTAATATGATTTTAAACTGATTATTTTCGTATTTTGATTAATATGGGAAATAATGAATCCAGATTGAGTTCAATATGATATTAGGGAGTACAAGTTGCTCGTATTTGTTTCCTTTGGTTAGTAATTAATCCTGAATCTTACGAACGAATGCTTTTTTTTCGTAGGTGAAGGCTCGGTTTTTTGCCTCTGAAGCAACGGTGAGTGCTCAACTTTCTCAAGGAGATCGACAGTTTTTGACTACATTTTCACCGGGGTTAAAAATGTATATATTTTATTTATTGTATTACAAGGAACAGTCTTTCAAAACTGTCGGTGAAAATGTTCCTTTGAGTTCAACAGTCAGTGGTAACTTTCACAGGCTGTTCATTAACCCTCTGACTCCCAGAAGTGATTAACATGTCACTTCTCCCTTCAACATCCATCCATTATCCAGCAAACAGTTAATGAGAATACTCAAACTTATCTGGTATCTTGATCAAACACCAAGTTCTTATTACTAAAGTAAAGTAATGTTGATTTTCCCCCAAAATTTCTCTTGCAAACCTACTAATTGTTTAGAAATGCCAAGCAACTCCAAAAATTATTGTGGTGTTTTAGAGGACAAATTTTTTAAGCATTTACTTAGATCCTATGAAATCGCTAGGTGAGAAATGTTTCAGAGTTGTTGAAAACCTTTTTTTTATAGTATTTTATAGTATGCATCTGCTCTGATAATTTGTGCTCTATAGTAAAAAGCCAAAATAATTTTTGGAATTACTTAATTAATATTTCTAAACTAATATTTGATACTCTAAAGAATAATCTTTCAGTAGAAATTCTGTGAAAATATTTGACTACCTAGCATTTAAACACAGCCTTATCTTTTATTCCCAATGAATGATATTCTCCTGTTACTTTACCCTATTTCCAGCTACTACTAACATTAATTAGTGAAAACTTAAATTTTTTCCTCAGTGTTCATTCATGAATACAGGCCCTTGAAATTGGGGAATTTTTTATTACTGGATGCCATGTGTATTTTTGAAACATTTCTTTTCTACGATCAGCAGTAATGTTGCAATTTGATTGGCCAATTTGCTGTTGTTGATAAGAGCATGAGCAACGCTGCTTGCATCAACTGGTCATGCAATGCCTTTATCACTGAAAGAATCATTTTGTTTGACATCATTATTGTGGTAAAAAAGGAATTGACAGGGGTTTAGCATGGTCTCTATACAATGATGTTCATCATCACATTGCTCAAAAGTTTTTGCTGATTCACCTGGCTGGGCCGCATGAGTCTGTAGCAAATTTTGACCTCTGTGATAATGAATATCATTGTCGATAAGAGTACAGATCATGCTAAACCACTTTCAATTTGTGAATTGGGCATGGCTGTGTACATTGGGCATACATGTAACATTGTCTCCTTTTTTTGACAGAAGGATGTGTCAAAAATCAGAAATATTGGTATATCTGCCCATATTGACTCTGGAAAAACCACACTCACAGAGAGACTTTTGTTTTATACTGGAAGAATCAGTCAAATGCATGAGGTGAGAACAATGGACTTTGATTTGCCTTTAGAAATGCTTTCAACATTACCAATCCTACTTTGCAGGATGCATCTCACATGTGGACCTTGTAACAATTGAGCTCACAGCAAAGTCTCTGTGACTCAGTAGTAGATCATCAAAGTGGTGAATCTGAAGGTCTGAGATTCTATTCCTCACAAGGATTCTAAATTTTTTTTAGTGCCATGCTCATGACTAGAGAAAAAAAATCTTTCACCAATTGACTTTGATGTTTGTTTTAACAGTTCAAAGTTTAATTTCCATGGGTTTTGCATGATTATACAAATAATGATTTTTGCCCTGTGGTTTCCTGTTGAAATCTTTACTGCAGTTTTTTTCCTTAGTGTGTGTTATGGATCAAAATTTACTTGAAGTTTAAGTGATATCAAACTTCTGTAGGTTGATAGGAGTTCTGACAAGACCAAAAAATTTTTTTTCACTAATGGATTTTGATACACATTGTAACAGTTCAAAGCCAATTTCCCATGGGTTTTGAGTGATTATACAAATAGTGATTTTTGCCCTGTGGTTTCCAGTTAAGATTTTTATTGCAAGTTTTTTTTTCTCAACATGTGTTGTGGATTGAAATTTACTAAAAGTTTAAGAGGTATCAAACTTCCATAGGTTGAAGAGAGTTCTGATAATATCTCTGAAACAAAGACTTTGTTAATATCAAGTTGATGTACAGTTTAAACCACAGCTTCTGCAATCAATTATTTCTAAATAGCAAAGGTTTGACAACTTGCAGTAATAATATTTGATTGTGTTGTCTGATTGTCTGGGTTAGAGTAGGCCTGGAAAGGACTGCTGTTGGCAGTAAAGACTGATGATTTGACAACCTTGGTGGAAGTCACCACTTGTGTCAAATGATTATGACTTTATGACTTCCACTTGTTATGGATAGTGACTGTAGAAATAAGTATCTTGACATTTTCTGGTAAGAATGTTTTGTCATGCTGAGAAGCATTCCATGGAACATAACAGAACATTTCATTAGGTCATGTAGTCATGATGTAATACCTGTCCACTGAAATAGTTGTGTTGTAAGTTTCCGGAATGTTCTAGAATACTTTGTAAATGTCTATAAGGACTCAGTCCTGTAGTAGAAGTTGTTGTTGTTGGAAGTGAATGACTGCTTGGAAAGCTATACACAGAGAGAGAGTGCTATTGTGAAGATTGTTTAATCCAAGGAACTTTGGAGAAAACTGTGAGTTTGTGTCAGTGGCGAGGCAAGACAGAGATTGTTGTGGGCTTAAGTAAGTTTATTGAGGATAATTACTGTATTTCCTATTGGACTTGCTCTGCATTAAAAATATTAAAAGTTGTTTAATAAAGTAGTGAAGTCTAAAGGAGTATAGCATTCTTTCTGTTTGTTAGATTATATTGTAACACATTGGTATTGTTAAAACTTGAGTCACTTCTACCAACAACAGTCCTTCAGGGAATTACTCTCACCAGTATGATCAGACTTCTTATGACAAAAAAATGTGAAGATACAAGATACATAATCTCACTGTAGCTCCAAAGCATTAATACAGTAAATCTCAGGGTTTTTTAATACCTTCTTGATGAGAAACAAATTCTTTGCTCAAGAAAATGCATTGATATATCCATGCATTAGATTTGGTTGTTTGGTATTCATCCTTATTTTCTAACCAGGTACGAGGTAAGGACAATGTAGGAGCCACTATGGATTCCATGGATCTGGAATGACAGCGAGGAATAACCATACAGGTTGGTATTAAGTAACAGTACTATGATTTATTTAATAAACTACAGTTCAAATGTATGACATTCATATAATCACAGTCATTTATTGATCACTAAATGGATTTATTACAAACCAACAAAATGACCAACTCCCAGTTGGCTTGTTATAGCCTTGTAGCTCAGTTGATAGAGCATTGCACTGGTATCCCAGAGGTCATGGGTTAAAATGTATAGGCCTGAATTTTTTACAGGTGTTGTTTTCACCGCTGCTTTATCATTGTGAATTCAAATATATGATATTCATACACATGTAACCATGTTTGAATTTCAGCCTGGATAGAGAGATCCTTTTTCAATCTTTTTAGAACTCCCAAGAAAGTAGAATTCAAGGTCATTTAATTTGCTGTAGTAAATAGAGAAACAAAAATCTCAGGAATATACAGTTCGGAGATTGTATACATGGTTGCCATAGCAACATTGCTACATCTTTTTTAGTATGTTCACAAGGCATAGTGAAGATGTTATGTCTTAAATACAGTAGAAATTCTGGTGTTTCAATATTATCTGCATAATGAAATAATATTCTTTGTATATTTCAAGAAGATACAACTGTATATATGTATGTTGTTTTAATCTGCAGCAACATATGTTGATTGGAAAGATACAAACATTAACATTATTGATACACCAGGTGAGTATCAACCATTTATTCCCTAACATCAAGATGCATATTCTCCATACTGTTCTTTATACATTTCTGAAGGTACTTTTCTGAACTTGTCACAGCTTTGTTACAGAGTATCCTACTGTAATCATAAAGGATTTACAGTTTGAATTGTCATCAAAAACAGATGAACATGTAGTTATGATGTTTATGTGTGCGAAAAGTAAAAGCTCTTGTCAGCAACATACATGTACACCTGTGGTGAGGTGGGAATTTTAATGAGTCCATCTTCAAAGGTTCAAATGTGTGAGGGATTGCCAGTTAGGGGGAGAGGGGTTTTGAAGCTTGGACTTATGTGATGCTGAAAAACCAAATTATGAGAGTGAAAGGGAAAATTTCTCATTGATTTTTCAAGGGTTTTTTTTTTATTGTGGCACAATAACAATACTACATTACCTTACATTACTATGTTAAAAAAAGGAAAGAAAAAATTAAAAAAAAAAAGGTTAAACAGTTTTGTAGTTTTAACTTAGGACAGCAAGCTGTAAGTAATTTATTTAGCACTGTCAGTATCTTAAGGTAGTGTAGTATTTAGATTTTGAATGGAAAAAAGTGCCTTTCCTTCTTCGAGCTTTTTTACAGATGAGTTATCAGGTTTCCTAAAATTGTTAAGTGTGCAATTGTAGTGTGATCATTTATGCCTTATGGCACTTATTTCTAATTTGAATTTGTGTTGGAAAAATGACTACAGTCCAAGCACTGTGCTATTATTAAAAATAGTTTTGGATAATTGATTATCAATGCAAATTTTTACATCAACACCTAAATTTCTTCAGAGAGGAGATCATATCTGGCCAAAATTTGAAAAACAAGTGAAGCCCTTGGGTTTTCTGAAAAAATCCCTGAGAATGATTGAAATGATAAGGTCTACAGAATGGATGATAGGGGGAATTAAAGAATGTGGAAAAATTTTTTTGTCATAAAAAAGTTAAAATTCTGGTCCTAAAGAAGGAACAAGGTAAAAATTTATATAGATATAACAAATGAGAAACAGAACAAAATGTTTGCAAAAAATGACCTGAACAGTGTAGCATTAAACATGTCAACTGTGAGGCCACAATTGAATTCCTATGACTATGGATTGGATTGACACTGAGATTTTCAAGAGTTGACATGAACAATGGAAAGATCATCCACTACATTTGAGAAGATGCTTGTTACATATTCATCTGTTTATTTTTTTTAAACTATTACATTTATATGCTAATTTTTGATATTTGAAAATGACTTGGGGAGGTGAAAAAATTGGTCGTTTCTATTGCTGATTTTTATTCCACAATGCATATCAAAGGAACTTCCTATTAGAAAAAGTGAAAAATTATTTTCCCTAGAGCAAAGTTACAACGCACTGCAGCCTTCACCCAATTGCCAATTGGTTTGGAATCTGAGGTAAAAGGAGTCATTGACCTTGTGTGATGGAAGGCTTATTACTTTGAGGGAAATCATGGGTAAGATTATTCATTCTTGTAACTTCTATTTTTTTTTTATTTAGCTGTTTAGCCAATCACAAGGCTAGAAATTCAATAACCCTGATCCAGCTATTCTTAAGACGCCATAACTTGAGCTAAAAATCTCCCAAAAAATTTAGCTGAAATATGATAATTGGCTCTTTCATTGTTAAACAACTATTGATGATTTAAATTATTAACTAACAGGTTCAAAGGGGTAGAAGGTGTCACCCCAGAAGACATGGTCAATGAGTGTACAACAAGAAGACAGGAGCTGATAGGTACATGTACAATCTGAGTATTTTTTCAACTTATAGCACTTGTTGTGTGAGTCATTACAATGGCCAATCAGAACAAAGGAAAATATCACAGGGAGCCAATGGGAACTCAACATGAAATGAAGTAAAATTAAGCATTGGAAAATGCTATTGATTAAGTCCTGATTATTTCAAGTTTTGAATTGGATTGGATGAGAGCTCGAGAGAAAGGGGAAAATCTTCTGGGCCAATCTCCCAACAAATGTCAATACAACGCTGGGCTGAGATGAGAATAAAGAAAAATATCAATGAGAGGATTATTAGTTGATCCAATACCAAATTCTTTAATCGTAAGAATTGTCCATCATAAGAATTGTATGGCAAACAGTAACAAGAATTACTTATTAGATTTTTCAGTCAGAGTGTTAAAGTGCTTAACCCTTTAACTCCCAGATCAAATTTGTAATTCTCCTCACTGTCAACCATACAATTCTTATAATGTTAGTTCAAAGAATTTAGTATTGGATCAACTAATTATCCCCAAATTGATATTTTTCTTTATTCTCATCACTATCTGGTTGATATTATATTGATATTGTAAGGAGAAATTCTGTGTTGGTCACTCATGGGAGTGAAAGGGTTAAGTGAAGAATTCTCCAATGATTGAACCCTTTAACTCCCAAGATCTGATTGTTAATTCTCCCCTCCAGCGGTGTAACATTTCCTTGTAAATTTGTTGTGAGAACTTGGTGCTAGATCAAGATAGCAGCTTCTGCCTGATAAGTTTGATTCTTCTCATTACCTGTATGCTGATTAATGTATGGATATTATAGGGAGAAGTTTCATGTTAATCACTTTGGGGAGTCAGAGGGTTAATGAACACCTTGTAAAAGTTACCACTGACTGTTGAACTCAAAGGAACGTTTTCATCAACAGTTTTCAAAAAGCTGTCATTACTATCTTTTTACTTATGTAGTATTAGGTAGCTGTAGCAACACTACAGCCCCCTTTTTACCGGCAGTTCAATAACAAAGAGTTTGCACCATTCTGCATGATGCTATTTTTACCGTCTGTTAAGTGCTGTGGTTTGTAATCATTAGAAACTGTAGCTAATGTGCATGACACTCTTGCGGAGATATTTCTGGAAGAAATACCACCAACGGGGAAACAATTAATTGTATGTGTTTTGAAAATATTAGGGCTGGTGTATGGATTGATGGATTGAGCTGTATATTCGACAGATTTCCTCTCTCTTTATGTTACGCTGAATTATACGAGCATTTTGAGTGGTTCATGCTCATGATATATAGGAGGACAGACGCACAGATTATATCACCGTCAACGACATTTTGCTTTTTTAACATATAACACAAATGCTGTTGATTCTAACAAGACCATTTGTTATTATCAACTCAGTTGATAACGTAAAATTGGCCACCGTTAATAGTTTCAAAGCAGACGTTTCGAGCGTTAGTCCTTCGTCTGAGCGAATGACGAGGGGCTAACGCTCGAAACGTCAGCTTTGAAACTCTTAACGCTGGCCAATTTACGTTATCAACTTTTGTCAGCTTTGAAACTCTTGAGGGTGGGCAATTCGCGCTATCAACCGTTATCAACAGTTGATAATACCGAATTACCTTGTTATACTCTCCCACCGACGGAACACCACAGTTTCTTTCGAAACTTACGCTTACTAGCTTACCGGCTGGATAAACAGCTGTGAACAGAATGAATTTAAGCACAAGCTTTATTTCTTTGAACTTCGTTTTGTAGAATCCGACATAAACGCCTTGATGAAGATGGCTCTGCGTGAGGTGGCTTTCCTTCCTCTCGGAGTCTTGATCGACCAATGGAGATGGAAAGTTTTCAGCGGTAAGATCACTGAGGAGAATTACAATACCGCGTGGTGGGAACTGAGGACTAAGTACCAAGGAATGGAACCTGCTGTGGAAAGGACAGAAAATGACTTTGATCCCTGATGCAAATAACACATTCCAGCTAATACACCATACATCAGGTGGGTATTGTAGCCAGTGGGAGAGAAGTTTATTCTGATCCCTTTCACAGTCGACTGGCGGGGGAAGTGAGGGGAGGCCAGAAGGGGGTTGGGGTTAGGAAGCCAATCTCCACCAGACAAGTTGTGATAACAAATGCAAACATCTTTGCATGTATATTTTCCGAAGCCAGTTGTTTGAAAAACGTCAGATAACATCTAAGTATAAACCACACCTGTGAATTGTGCTTTCCGCGCGCGCGCTTATTGGCTAGTTTGGAAGTAAATAGTAATTACTATTCACCTCCGAGTTGCTGAGAAAAAAAAATCGCGCTTCAAGAGCTAAATTTCTGAGCATTTTTCGATGTATTGAAAGCAATAAACTAATTTTTTTATATCTGTTTGGTATATGCTAAAACAATTATTCGCCTGATTGTCGTTGGAAGTAACAGATATTTCCTTAGCTGCTTCGCGGCTCGGTAAATATCCACCACTTTTCACCTCCACTTCGGTGAATAATTGTTGATTATTTCGCCATGCACGATCCTGTTGAAATAATCTATGATATGATTTCGAGACCGTATATTTTAGTTTAACTGGTTAAATTGCCCCATCGAAACGTGAGGGGAGGAGAGAAGGGCAACGCCTCTCTCCTCAGGGCGGCTTTTGTTATTCGAACCCCCTGGCGTCATTTATTTGTTGTAATTTTCACCGCGGAACTCAAACCTTTAATAACTCGAACTCTCGATAATCCGAAGGAATTCTCGTTTCCCCTCAGGTTGATAAGTTTTTCAAAAGGGTTGCTCTTCATAGCTCGAAACATGTCATCAGCGGTGCCTTGTTTGTCGTACATTGTTTGTTGCGCGATGGAAATTTTGAATTCATAATCTGCATGGTTTTTCATTGGACAAATAACAGTTTGTGAGAATAGAAAAACGACAACGAGGAAAGGATGAACTAAAAGGGAAACAAGGATGACTGAGAATAAATTGTTTCCTTTTCCAGGCGTTCAATTGGTGAAATGTAGCGTGATAGTAAATGGTGCTGAAGAAGCAGCGGACTGTGAAAAGGAGAGAGGCATGGGTCGGGTCTCATATTGATCTCCCGCGTTAAGTTATCGCGCTTCGTTTTTCAAGCTAAACGTCGGGAAGACGGCTAGTCCAAGAAACCTTGTGTTGGGTAGAATATTTCCCCGATGAATGTGTCACTGACCAAATTTAATTTGTTTTATTTTTATTGCTCAGGTACTTTATGAGCTACGTGCTACAATTCCAGTTCCACAAGGCCGCCTGTGAGGCAGCCGGACATACGGGACCTTTGCATACCTGCTCCATCTACGAGTCTAAAGAAGCGGGAAAGAAGATCGGGTAAATATTGACAAAAGATGTGTTACTTTTTGCTGATATGCTTGTTCCTTCAGCTATTGCTGAACCACTGTTGTACTGATAAGTATGAAAATATTTTAATCATTTGTGAATGTGATACTTATTTTTCTACTTATGACCAAACTTTGCCTTGTCCGGCGAACGTGAACGACGACGGCTTATTTTTTTAATTTCTATTTCTAATTAAACGCTGTGTTCCATATTCAGTTCTGAGGTAGTTTGGACAGCGAGAAACAAACTAAATGACTCTAGAGTATCACGAGATTCGTGGGTAAAATCTAAGTTCATTTTTTTAACCGACGTTTTCCTCGGCGTCACCGTCGTCGTTTCATTCATTTATCAACAAACTATTCACTGGATTATTTTTTACACCTATTAAAGCTCTAAATCGTTTTTAATAATTCAAATTAGCATAGAAGAGGCCAGAAAAAGCAAAACTCGACAATGATTGGATATCGGGAGACTCTGATTAATTATGTCCCATTTTGTTCAAAAGTGCCGTCAGGATCAGTTCAAGGAAATTAACCGCCTTGCTATGTTATTTGTCCCCCAAAAATTATTGCTTTGATATGTTATTGTTGTTGTTGTTATTATCATTATTATTGTTATTATTATTACTATTATTAATAATTATAAATCTCAATTTCATAGCCCGCACATGAAGTAAGCAATTAACGTTTGGTATTGAATGGCGTTTCCCTCCTTCAATCTATAGGGATATGCTGAAGATGGGAAAAAGCAAGCCTTGGCCGGAAGCTCTCAAAAAACTGACCGGAAGTGAAACACTGGATGTTGGCGCTCTATCGGAATACTTTGAGCCTCTCCGCAAGTGGATGGTGGAACAGAGGAAAGAGCTGGGGTACACTGGACCCGGATGGGACGTAGACGCAAAGGCTGGAGTATCAGCTGTTCTTCCCACACTGTTCAACACTGTCATGGGTTCTTTGATTGTGACAGTTGTGCTCTTTTGCTAGAGATCTTCAAAAGGCCTGGACCTAGGGCCATGATCATTGCTTTTCATTATCAGCCTTTTTTTCTTTTTTTTCATTGCAATTGCCTTCGTGGTAAATCAGCAATTGAAATTGTGATTAATTGTTTTTCTTTTTAGGTTATCGATTATCGTCTCACGTTTCTTTGACAGTGCAAAATAAAGATGTACGTTTTCTATTATGTGACTTGTTTATCTTTACATATGTATATAAATTTCTTTTTATTCAACTAAACTTGCCTAAAGTCATAATTCACAAAGTAAATCAAAGAAATACAGGCGTGGGTCTCTGCTAAAAAAACAACAACAACACAAAAAAACCGGTTCATTCTATTTCGTTATCTGATAAAGGGGGTCAGTTTCTAAAGAAACTGTGGTGCTGCGTCGGTGAGAGAATATAACAGGATAATGAAGTGTTATAAACTAAGTTGACAACGTAAACTGACCACTGTATAGAGTTTCAAAGCTAAACTCTCTACGTTGCGGCTAATTAACGTTATGAATTCAGTTGATAATACTAAGTTACTTCTTTCTCTGATATTTTTGTTGTTTAAATTTCAAAGCTAATAATCTCCGAGTAAAATCGCAAGATCAGTGTGTTGTAATTTTTGACA